CGGACCTCTGCAGGGTTCATTAAATCCTCAAACAGGTTTTGCTTACAGTCTATTAGAAAGCATCAGGATTTTATTTATTTTTAATAAGAGAAACATCCTGAATTCTCATTTTAATAAGATCTAAGCCGACAGCCTCCAGTGCAGAGCTGCATGGCTGTTAACCTGCGCAGTCATCAGATCCAGACCCGGCACTTTGTCCTGACCTCTTGACCCCAGAGGTGGACCGTGAGGTCAACGCAATAGTCTCGATCCTGGTTAATTAGTCAGGCATCTGGGTCAGGAAAGCCCAGCAGCAAACCTCTGTGAACACATGCCTGAGAGCTTTCCTCCGGGATCTGCTGAGATTCTGTTTTGCCTCGTTTCCACCGAGAGTCACAAGTTAACTGTGACTAAAGGAAGGAATGGATCAGAACAAAGGAGGCGTGCAAAACAGCCGTCCCACCGTGTTGGTTTAGGTGCAACACGAGGCGGACGGAGCATTTTTGTCACGCATTCATAACTTCTTCAAACAAGTTTAACCTCACAGTAAGAATGAAGTTTTTATGCTGCTGTGTCCTTGCTGTTTTAAAGACAGTTGTGCAAGTTCACTTTCTACAAGAATTTGCTCAACATTCATTTCCATAATCTAATTGTGTCAGCAGTTATACATTCTGAGCCAAATCCAAACTCCCAGGTTATTAAAAAAGGTTTAAGATAGAAACCTCCATAAAGGCCTTAAACTCCGTCCTGCTTTATGGCATCATCCATCACATAATAATAGCTTTAGTGTCTTTTACTTGGAATCTAATTTACATCTGATTCACTTTTCTTTGCTCACAAAGGTTGCATTAATAATGCAGACTCCCAAAGTGAACTTCTCAAATGTTTGTTGTTTGGAATAAAGTTCAGCTGCTGTCAGACACTTGATTCATTAAGATGAAACCTTTATGGAAAACATTCAATTATTCTCTACCAAAATGTCTCCACTAAACTGCCCAGTCAGGATTTACAGAAAATATTTGTTTTTGAAGAATGACTGTTACTCTAAAACTGGAAGAAGTCAAATGTAAACAAAAACGGGACAAATTGATCATTTGCAAAATATTAATAATTGTTGTAGATTAAATTGTTTTCTGTCATATATAAGAACTGGCGACTGTCAGTTTAATTGTGTATTTTATTTTATGGTTTATTTTGTTTAAAATAAAAGTTGTTTGATTATTTTTATGCCAATATGTTTTTGGAAATTAAGCAATAAATACAGCTAATTGGCCAACATTAGCTGTTCTCTGAGAAGACCTAATAATTTATTCAGAAGTAAATAAAAAGACTCATCAATCTAAATGCCTTCCTGTTGAATCAAACTTTATACCAGAGCCAGACCAGGCGCTTTGTTCCTGTGGCGTTTTGGAAGCTGCTGTTGGGTTACCAATGGTTGTGAAGGTACGCGAAGGCCTGTTGTGAAGGTCTTTGTGAGCTGAATGCAGCTTGTTGTGGGACAGGAAGCCAGCTGAGGTTCAGCCTCTTCCACTCTTTAGGTCTTGGCTCTGTGTGTAAACAGTTTCTGTTTGTGTTTTGTTGCCTGCGTCTGAGCAACCAGGAAGTTGCTCCCTAAATCCGAACAGAGGTCGGATGCAGCCCGCCTCCCGCAGAGGGGCAAAGCGGGCTTTAGCTGTGCATGCAAGAAGTAATTTAATCTTAATCTTCTTGTTGCCTAACAAGCTGGTGTTTTATCTCAGTAAGATCGTTTCACTGTTTTCTTGTAAAACACTTTTCTTTCCCTGAGCAGACGGTCGAATAACACCGATCTCACTTTCAGTCACGACTCGACTCAGTTTCTGAGAAACTCTTTCAGTGGACGCAGTCTGCAGCTCTGTGTTTGTACAAAGAGTCTGGGTGAGGTCCAGAGCTGTGCAGGCACTTTGTCCAACATGCTGTTTGGTGGGTCTGAAGGCTCCCTCCTTCCTGCCACTGGGGGGTTTTTACCTTGGGTGGCAACAGTGTGTGGAGGTCCAGTGAATGGCACAAAGACTGCCTGCTGTTTAGGTGTGTGTGTGTGTGTGTACATGTGTGTGTTTGCAGCCAGAAGGCCCTTAAATGGGTCACCTTTACGGACCTCTGTTACAACCGACGTCCCAATAGTCTAAACTATTTACAAAAAACTAAACATGAAAACGTCAAACACTGTAAAAAAAATTCCACCTAACTTTGGTCATGTAATGTTGATTATCCTGCTGTTTGTGTAGCACTGTGCAAAAGTTGTAAATCAATTTCATATTGTCCTCCTATTTCTTGTTTTTGAGACACAAGAAAAACTGAGAAATCATCCAATGTCCAAAGGAAATCTCTGAAGACATTCAGAAATCTCAGTGATTACATCGTTTTAAAATAAAGTCGCAGGTCAGAGGTGCATTTTCTTTTTTTCAAACACTGTACAAGTATTTAAAAACAACAAATTTTCTAACAATATTTTACTGAATAGACTTTTTAAACAAAAGCTTTAAACGTGGCGTTAGAGAGCGATGAAAGTGACAGTTGTAGCTGTTGGGACGTTGCTGTGGGTCTTCCTGCTGCTTGGTGACCTAAAGCCTGGATGCCTGCTTACAGTCGTCTCCCATGCGTGTTTCCAAACCTCCGTCTGTCCTGTCATAACATCCCACCTCGCCTCAGGCTGCAGCCAGAAACCCTGAGTGTTTATTTCATCCTCGGTCCTGTTCTCCATCAGGACCGTAACCTTTTCCTGATCCACAGCTAACAGGTGAAAGTTCAGCTTCATTTTTAAACCTAAAGTCTTGAAGATTGCTCAGGGGCCGTCAGGAATGAGCGCTCGCTGAGACTGCTGGAGTTGTTTGCTTGGCTGCTGCAGTTCTCTCTGTTCCTGCTCCATAAGGCTGTTAGAAATGTCTGCTCTGCTCTATCTGTACCCATTTGTCTCCTGTAGGAACGAGCGTCATGGAGTGTAATAACACCAGTTAACCCAACGCACATGTTGGACAACATGCAAACACCACAACCTGCAGATTACAGCAGTTCTCACCACTTTAATAGGGAATACTTCTCTACTGACTGGATCTAACGTTACACATTGTTCAGACATAAAGTATAATTCACATTTTTAACAGCACTTGCCACCACATCCCTCAGTCCTTTCAGCTTGCCCAATTTTTATTGATATGACTCCTTTGAATACAAAACACTTCATAAAACGTTTTTTAAAAATTCACAGAGAAGAAGAGAAAATGTAATCTAACAAAAAGCGTCTAAAAACGTTACCGTCGGTTTTAGAAAAGATCGATGGAGCCGTCGATAAGTTTTTACGCTTGCTTGAGGCGGTTCATGGCTTTCCCAAAGAAGATGACACGTTAAACTGAAATGTCATTCCTCCGGTTCAGAGGAGAGAGCTCTCCGTTTTTCTGAGATGTTTCCATGCTAGCTTGCAAACTTACTTCCTGTTTATTACAGCTACATATAGCATCAACATAGACATAGTGCTTCAGCTTCTGGTCACACATTTAGAATAAAGTTTGATTTGGTCCAAACTTGCAGATGGAAACAAACCAATTTTCTTTTTTCCATCTTTTTTTTTTTTTTGCGACATTTTAAAGGTTTACTCAGAATTTGCAAAACAACTGGATGGAAATTAAGCTAATGACTGTTAGCTTCTTCTAGCTACACATATTAACACAGCTGAGTATCATCAGCATAGCAGTGAACATATTTACTGTTTGTTATTTATAGAGAAATAAGGAATTAAAACTGAACTAAATGTCTGTAAATATAAATACCTTTTGGAAATGTTTTCATAAGTTCTTTTTTCTGCAGCTTCCCTCTTTACTGACACCTTTAAAGTTCCCACTTTATCTTTTATAAGGATCTACCCAACCATTATCCAAAGGGGCAGATAAGTCACACTTACTGGAAAAAGTTGTTTACGAACTTGAAGGAAGCACCCATTTGAACATAGCTTTAATTTAAAGTCAGCGGCTTAAAGGCAGAATTTCTCTCAATAAAGGAGATGAAGGAATAAATGTGCAAACATTTATTCTGCAGTTTCGGCCCGGTTGATCCGGAGCGCCACAGAGAGCCAGGTTAGGCGGTTTGTTCATCCGTGGCGCTCTGCAGTTGTAGCATCTGAGTCGTCGTCACTTCATCTTCTCTGGTGGGAGATTTCTCTCCTTACTCAAAGTTTCAATGTGCCTGCTTTGTTTTAAATGAAAACAAGGTTGTTGTTTTTTATAAGAGCAGATTGAAGACAGCCAGCAGGGTGTCGCCTTTGTCGTAGAACTGACTTGTGTCCGCTCAGTAAGTGTTTAACTGGGAGTGACACGCTGCACCAGTGATTACAGACCAGTCCAACGTGTCTGACTGGATGGTTGGACATGCAAAAATCATAGTAATCAACGCAGTGAAAGGAGAGTAGCTGTTTTAACTGCCAGCTTAGTGTAACACACAGTTTATGGCTTTTGTTTGTTACAGCCTGAAATGGTGATGAATATATCAGATTTTGTCCTTTTAACCGTTGCAATACAAAAAACAAGTTTTCATTCTGCAAGTTTCAGTGCAGCTCTTAGAATCCAAAGAAACGTTTTGGGTCTCAGCAGCAAAATGAAGGTAGTTATGTAGCTTTTTTTCTTGTCAAATAAAATTGACAGGCAGATTCTGATATTTTCTGAAGATGTTAAATGTAAACAAGTGTCAGCATGATGGATGTTGGCAGGTGGGAAGCATTATGGCGCCACCTGGAGGCTGGTAATGCAACAAATAAAGATTTTTATAAAAGTTATTTTAAAAAAATCTAATCGACCACAGTTGATTTTGTCCAAGTTTAGGGTTGTGCTTCATAAACATATATTTGCAGTGACGGTTTGTACTAATAACTTTTCCACCTGAGATCAAAAAAATAAGCAATGACCCAGGAAAACATCAGACAAATCCCCTGCAGCTGACTGGAAATGATGTTTTCTATTTCCATTCTAGCAGGTTGAATAGCCATAAACTAGAAATCTTGTTTTTGTCCCCAGTGGAGAAAGTGGAGCTGGTAAAACCGAAAGCACCAAGCTGATTTTGAGGTTTCTGTCCGCCATGAGCCAACACTCGCTGGAGGTTTCCTGCAGAGACAAAACGTCGCACGTGGAGGAGGCACTGCTGGAGAGCAGGTCGTTATCCGGCTAAGGCTAACTCTCCCAGCTTCCCAGTTCACTTCACCTTCTACCTGACGACTTAACGACTCCCTCTCTCATCAGCCCCATCATGAGGCCTTCGGAAACGCCAAGACCGTCTACAACAACAACTCGAGCCGCTTCGGGAAGTTCGTCCAGCTGCATTTCAGTCAGAAGGGAAACATCCAGGGAGGAAGAATAGTTGACTGTATCCTTTCAAACGCTCTCAGGGTTAGACGGACAGAAACTCATTTCCTCTTTTTATACCTGGAAAAGGTTTGGGAGAATTTAAAGTAGGAAGTGGTTTAATTAGAAAAGGTTTCCTCCAGATTTCTGTTGAAAGTTAAATGGTTTTATATTTTTAAAATCAGTTTTTAAACCTTAATTTATGGTTTGCAGCCAGACTGTGACTGATAGATGATTAGTATTGTCAAGGTTATTGTCTTTGTCTGGGAATTCATATCTGACATTTTGATGAATTTTGTAACTCTACTGAGATATTTGACTGTTGTGTACCTTAACTGATTCTTTTCTGATGAAAGATCTGCTAGAAAAAGTAAGTGCTTATGATTCTTCCAAGCCTCAACGTCTGCTAAAGTGTAGCACTGATGTTTAAGTCTTCATGCTCTGAAAGCCGATTAAAGCAACAACCGGAGCTCAAGTGACGTTAAACATTAAAACTTGGACTGAGAAAATATCACAAAAACTTCTCATCTGTCTGGAAATCTTAGTCATCTCTGCAATCAGTTTTGATTTTAAAAGCATAAACCAACGGCTGATGATGATCTGACTCATATTGATCTTTGTCCTCTCAGAATCGAGTTGTTCGGCAGAACCCAGGAGAGAGAAACTATCACATTTTTTACGCCATATTATCAGGAGCCAACAACCAGCAAAGAGGTGAGTTTCTTTGGGTTTTGGCATCGCTGTTTAACATTTTATTTTGTGACGGAGGATCAGATTGTTTCTCTTTGTTTCTGCAGAGGCGTTCGGGTTGACGCGTCCTGAAAGCTACCACTACCTGAGACAGTCCAACTGCACGGAGGACAAGACAATCAACGACAGCGGCACCTTTCAGGACGTTCTGGTACCAACAGTCTCTGAGCAAACATTCAGTCAAACCTAAACTACACCTGAACTTCTAGTTGGTCTGATTAGAAAAGTCTCAAATCTTCAACATTAGGAAGATTGCTGTTACTTTAAGGGTGGTTTAAATATAATTGATTTTTTGTCTGCATGTTTTATTCTAATTTAATTTCAGTGTATATGTATACTGCTTGTCCTTTTTTGTTCTTATCAATGTTTAATAAGTTATTCATAAACTTACACCAGTGAAAACCTCAAAACTGAGAACATATTGACTGTAAATAATGCAAATGACACAAAGAAATACGACCAGTTTATTTAGTAACTCAGCAGCAGGTTTTCATGCCCAGGTTTTTTGTATCTTTGTGGTTTTCAGAGCGCGATGCGAACCATGCAGTTCACAGAGGAGAACATCAGGGAGGTCCTGCGCCTCCTGGCGGGATTCTCCATGCAGGAAACATCGAGTTCATGACGGCTGGAGGCGCTCAGGTCGCCTCAAAATCAGGTCGGAAAATTCATCCCCACCTTCCTCACTGCCTTCATGTTGCCTTTTTCTCTCCCAGCTCCTCTCTGTGCTGACAGAAAAAAATCCTGCATCTTAATTATATCTGGTAGTTTTTAATTGTTGTGAAAATCTATGATGAATAACGAATGTTTGAAATCTTTCCAGAGTTTCTGTTGGTATTAGTGAAAGCGGCGGGTTTTGTTGTTTTCTTCTGCAGCTCTGAGTTGGACGTCTGAACTTTTGGGCCTGAACTCAGATCAGCTGGCAGAAGTCCTGACTCACCGCTCCATGATCCTCAGGGGGAGGAGATCTCCACGCCTCTAACAGTCGAACAGGTCAGAGGTCAAGGCATGTAGGATGAAATATGGAGAAAATGCATTTATTTTATTTTAAACAAAAGTTCTGAGGTGGTCCTGACAAAGTCCAGCAAGTGATGAAGCTCAATAACAATAAAAAACTTTTAGTTGTAACAAACTAGATTAGTTACCATAACTACATAATACAGACATTACAATGTTAACACTACAAACCTATTGAAGCTCTGATTCAGAGACAAGTCAATGTTTATTCAGCTCAACAGAAATTCAACTTGTTGTTTTTAAACAGGAACAATGAGCACACTCATTCAGTTATTACAGGTATAAACTACTGAACCTCCAGAGTCACATAAACACAGTTACAAACTCGGCCTTTTATCACTAAAACTAACAAATAGGAGCACATCAGCTCAGCCTTAAAGCCGTCCAGTGCTGTTTTCTTTTAAACTTACAGAAAAGTCCTTAAGTTTCATCAGCTTCAGTTCTGCTCATTTCTGCCTGAGTGAATCTTACTGTAAATCTTTAATCTGTTTCCTAATAACAATCTGTTTTTGAAGGCGGTGGACTCCAGGGACTCCATGGCCATGGCACTTTATTCTCAGTGTTTCAACTGGATCATTCACAAGCTGAACCACCGGATCCGGGGCAAGGAGGACTTCAAGTCCATCAGCATCCTGGACATTTTTGGATTTGAGAACTTTGAGGTTTGCAGTTTCTTTATCTGTGATGTGTGAGATCAACAACACTTTCATTACACAATCTTGTAATTCTGTTCATAATGTTCCTGCATTAATTGTGTATTTAGTGTTGGATTGATGTAGAAACCTCAGGAATGTCTTGCTGTTCATAATTTTAGTGTTCTGGTTTGCTCCCCTCAGGTTAACCGCTTTGAGCAGTTCAACATCAACTATGCAAACGAGAAGCTTCAGGAATATTTCAATAAGCACATTTTCTCCCTGGAGCAACTTGAATACAACAAGTAGGTGATGATGCTCCGTTTTTTCCTCCACGTTTCGTTCTTTTCTGCCGTTTCAGCTCTGGGTTGAAACGGAAACAAGGGAAATAGACGATGGAAAAACATTTTAAAATATTTCAGATTTTCCTTCTGTTCCACATTTTAAAAAAATATAAAACTGGCTGTTCTAAAAGTAAATTAAACAATGCATTTGTATGGGAACCTCAGGTCTAGAATTTTAAGTTTTAATGGAGATATTTTGTTTGGGACACACAGAGACTCGGTCGTGTCTCAAGCGATAAAGTCGCAGTTTTACATTCACTTCTTGGGTTTTATAAACAGCTGTTGGGACCTGCAGACAAATTCAACAGTCTGACGTAGTTTTCTGTTGTTTCTGCAGAGAGGGCCTGGTTTGGGTCGACATCAACTGGATGGACAATGGAGAGTGTCTGGATTTGATCGAGAAGGTATGCAGATCATTTCTTACTCCAAACAGGATCATTTTTAAAGCTTGTAAGTGAAGCACAGACAATTTTACATCAGATTTAAATGACACATGTGGAGTAATGAGCCAAATCAAGATTATTTTGGTCATAAACATGTATTTAATATTAGCTGTAAACTCTGCAGGAACAGTTTGAATGTGAAATGTTTCATTTGTTCTTAGAAACTGGGTCTCCTGGCGCTGATGAACGAGGAGAGTCACTTCCCCAAAGCCACAGACGACACCTTACTGGAGAAAACTCCACAGCCAGCACTCGGTCGGTCTCCAGCATCCTCCTCTCGCTTTTAGTGTACAGCCATGTTGTATTCATGCAAGATGCACACATTGTCAGCAGGTTATTGTAAGAATAAATTATAAAGTCTAAATCTCATTTTTACATATTTATCTCACCTGAATGTAATGTTCTCCTGTCTTTCCCATTTAAAAAACAGGCTAATTTATGTTGTTCAGTAGCTTTGCGTGGTCAATATCAATTTTATTTGTATGGAATGTTAAAAAAAAAAAACAGCTTCATAATTTATCCAAATAGTAAAAATTAGACTTTAAATTTTAATAAAATTAGCTCTGATTTAACACTAGATCAATGTAGAAAGGGTAAATTATATATCCTGAATGTCTAGTTTGACTTTGTGAAAGTTATTACCTCAGAATAATAATTGACATTTTCTTTCTTCTACAGAAAAATCCATTTTATGTGAAACCTCGTGTTGCTGTGCACCTATTTGGAGTCAGACATTATGCAGGAGAGGTAACCGCCTCACAGCTGAGCCTCGGATATTTTTACTGTTTGTCTTTTTATTGAGATCTGAAAATTGTGAGGAGAAAAAAGTTTCTTCTCTGTTTTGCTTTGCTCCTGTAAAACCGCGCTGCCCCCTTGTGGCTGTTTCCAGGTGGTGTATGACGTGAGGGGGATGCTGGAGAAGAACAGAGACACTTTCAGGGACGACATCCTCAACATGCTGAGAGAAAGCAGGTCGGCTGGATGGTTTGGAAGTGATGAAAAATGTTTTTGACCTTTATCGCCTGTTTGGCATTCCTGACTCCGCCCTTTGTTTGCCAGGTTGGATTTTGTCTATGATCTGTTTGAACACGTATTGAGCCGAAACAAGCAGGACACGCTGAAGAGCAGCACCAAGCACAGACGGCCCACCGTCAGCTCCCAGTTCAAGGCAAGTCAAACTGGGAGCAAACAGCAGATGAGCTTTAATGTACTAGATAGAATATTCTCTATACTACAATGTAGTATAAGCAGAATATAGAATAGAATTCTGTACTTTCTACAGAATAGTATTATTCTATATGCTATAGTATTTTCTACTACTTGTATTCTCTAGTAGTATAGTAGATAGTACATATACTATCTACTATATTATTTTACATGTCATAGTATTCTCCACTGCTAGACATACATATACAGAATAATAGTATGTAGTAATAGTGTAGATATAGTTATCGATAGATATATAGAGATATATATATATAGCTATATATATATATATATATATATATATATATATATATGTGGAAAGTATTACTTTCCATAGTAGCATGCATACATATATGTCTGCATCTTCTTTTTGAGTTTTGTTATTATATTGCGGTACTGAAGTTACGTCAATAAAAGAGCAAATTAAAGTGGAATCTGTTGAGCAAAGATAGAAGTAAAAATAAGAGTGTTCATGTTTCTCCAGGACTCTTTGCACTCTCTGATGGCCACCCTGAGCACGTCCAACCCGTACTTCATCCCGCTGCATCAAACCAAACACACACAAGGTGAGTCCCTGTTTGCGGGTCAAGGTCACAGTGCTGACAGTCTGTGTGAACTGGTTGTCATTTAATCGTTAAACAGTCCCCCCTCCACGAGGTAGACGGGGGAGAAAAAATGTCTGGTCTGCTTTGATGACCTTTAGCCCCAGGTTTCCTAGCAACAGGCTCTGGCAGTGAAGCATGCCAGAGCCTGTTCACAGCTGAAATACAGAAATGGTTTTGGGATATTCCACCTGTACTGTGGTAATTGTTTCTGACTGGGAGGCTGCTGTGAAGGGGATGGACTGAGCAAATTCACATTTTGCACATTTTGAAAGTCCATGCTGGTTCTGAACCCAAGTTCTTAAAATGAAAACTCCAGGCTGTTTTTGGCCACAGTTAAAAACAGATGTGTTTTCTTAAGCAGAAAACACATCTATTCGCACATCTATTTGTCGTGCAAATAGATGTGCACGGACAAACAGATGTGATGTCACTGATGACATCACAGGCTGTTACTTCGAAAGTTCTTGAATAGAAACCACTTAGGCTGGGGCAGCATTGCTATCATGGCACGGAAATCACGACACAGACGGCGGTCCTCTGAAGCGTATCGGCGCAAGAGGCGCGCAAACTCACCAAAGCCCGTGGGCAGAAGAGGCGCCATCATGCCTCCTCTGTACGCAAACGGTTGAGGTAGGTTTGTGTCAGTTTCCCTCGTAAAGCATGTAGCATGCACTGTTTTCTTTGTTTATTTTGATTCTCTGTAAAACAAGGAAAGTGGCTTGGCCTTTTCCACTGCTCAGCAGTGGAAAAGGGCACTGGGGACTTTTTCAGGGACTTTTCCGGCTGCAGCCAGGGACAGGTCTCAGTAGTAGTCCTGAATGAATGTGATGTCACTGATGACATCACCAGCTTGTGAATTCAAAATTTCTTGAATAAAAGGCTACTTAGCTTAGCCGTAGCATTGCTACAATGGCACGTAGAGTACGACGTAGACGGCGAACCTCCAACGCGCCTCGACGTAGGAGAGGTCGCAAGGCTATCAAAGTCCGTAGCCGGAAGAGGCGCCAAAATGCCTCTTCTGTCTGCCGACGTGGGAGACCATGCTGTCACTAGTTACTCTCGTTCAACTTGTAGCATGCGCTTTTTCCTTTTTTCCGTTTTTTTTTTTTTATTTGGCACTGATATGCAGTGACATGGCTGTTCACCTGCACCATAGGTGAACAGCCATGTCATGTTTGGTGTGGATCATCCGTCTCAGAGCTGAGACAGATGTGGATGTTCTGAGTTGGAGCCATCTTGGTGAAAGCCAGATTTGTTCATCTCAAACAGACAAATCTTTGGCCAAAGTTCGGTCAGGTTGGTCACACTTCACGTCAAATAGGCTTAATTACGTCAGTCAAAGTCAAAATGGATGTGATGTCATTGATGACATCACAGACTGTTACTTCAAAAATTCTTGAATGAAAGACAACATAGCTTAGCGTAGCATTGCTACAATGATACGTAAATCACGACACAGACGGCGGTCCTCTGAGGCCCACCGGCGCAAGAGAGCCCGCAAACAAACCAAAGCTCGTGGCCTGAAGAGGCGCCACAATGCCTCCTCTGTCCGCAGACGCTTGAAGTAGGTTTGTTGTTACTTGCTCTCGTTCAGCATGTAGCACGCGCTTTTCAGCTGAAAAGTGTTCCCTTTGTCTTTCTCTTTATTTCTTCCTTGTCAAACAATCAGTCGATCAGTGATTCTCTAATCCAGTCCTCCAGGATTCTTGCCCTGGAGGACTGGGCAAGATTCCCAGGTTTCTGTAAACCTTCAAGGATCTTAGCTTCCTCAGGACGTCCAGTCTGCGTCTCCAGTCTGTTGTCCAGATGAACACCAGCAGGAGTCTCTCCAAGACCTTGTGGGTGTCAAGAGAGGAGAATGATGAACTGAATCAGTTGAAGAATGTGCTCAGCTCATTGGCTCTGTCCAGACTTCTGATCCTCCTTTTGCTTGAAGCCTGTGTCGTCTTCAATCCTGGCCTGATCTCTGATCCAGTTTCTCTGACAGGATCAGAGATCTGCAGTTTGTTCTCCAGCTTCTTCCCCTATTTGACTTTGAGCTGCTTCTGTTTACTCCCTTGCTTCAATAACTCCCTTGTTCCATAAAGGTTCTTTTTTCTTGTTTAACAGGACATTTGGGTCACTGGTGATCCAGGGTTTCTGGTGGGAATGGTGCTGTCCACACACATTGACTCACTCAGTCATGACATTGATGTAATCTCCATTTGGCTGGCAAAGGAAAATCCAATTTGTTGCTTCAAAACAACCGTCCTGAAGATTGTGATTTTGGTCTTGATTTTCTGGTGAGCAAACCAGTCAAGGTTATTGGGGTTTATCACCATGAACTGTAGGATTAAATCACAGATTTAAGAATAATGCTGGTCCAAAACAAGAAACAACACAAATGTGTTTTCCTTTCAGTTTCTTTGCAAAGCAGTAACATGCGGTACAAACTGGTCACACTCTTTTCACTTTAAATTTTTATGAAAAAGGAAGAGACACAGACAAAGTATGACATCATCAGTGATGGAGTGATGTCATTGATGACATCACAGGCTGTGACATCAAAAGTCCTTGAATAAAGGACCACTTAGCTTAGCGGAGCATTGCTACAATGGCACGTAGAGCACGACGCAGACGGCGCTCATCGCCGTCCTCGTCCTCTGAGGACGAGAACCCTCAGAGACGTAGGAGAGGTCGTAAGAATCGCAAATTCCGCGTCTGGAAGAGGCGGCAAAACGTCTCCTCCGGACGTAGACGAGGGCGGCATGTTTGCCATCACTAGTCACTCTCGTTGAACATGTAGCAAGCACGTAAAAGCCCAAAAAAATTAATAAAAAATAAGAAACATCATCAAGCAGTTTGTGGTGAGTGAGTGACTGGTTACTCACGACAGACTCAAAAGTAACCAGTCACTCACTCACTCACTCACTCACTCACTCACTCACTCACTCACTCACTCACTCACTCACTCACTCACTCACTCACTCACTCACTCACTCACTCACTCACTCACTCACTCACACAGACTGCTTGATGAGGTTTTTTATTTCTTATTCATTTTTTTGGGCTTTTATGTGCATGTAAAATCCTAACCTTTAACCTTTAACCTGATACATGAGCAAAAGTTTCACTTTCAATGATTTAGAACTCAGGTGTGATGTCATCACCAAGCGTTAGCTTGGATGTGATGTCATCAATGGCATCAAAGGCTGACCCAATAAAGTAAACAAAACCATCTCCACCAGAACAGTGAGATGCTTCCTTAATAACAAACCAGTGAGCCACATGAACTGTGCAGTGAGAGACACTGCAAAGGAAACTAGATGTGATAATGTTACCGCTCACATTAGACTCTCACTGAAAAAGTAATGGAAGAATTAGATTAAATTTTTGACAAAATTCTTAAAATTAAAATAACTTGCAAATTCCTAAAATAAGAACATTATGATGGAAAAGCAATTGAAATAATTGGGCTTTGCATAAAACCCAATTATGCAAAGCACGTCACCTTTCACTTTGAAACGTCTATGGGGTGATGTCATTGGTGACATCACATCCATGTCTTCACAATTTACTAAATGTGGTGTCACCGTTTCTGATGTCATTGATGACATCACAAGCTCTTATTTAAAAAAAATGCTTGAATAAAAAAAAACACTTAGCTTAGCATCATTGCTAAGCTACCATGGCACGTAGACGACGACGACGACGACGCTCCTCCTACCGACGTAGGAGGAGGCGATACTACAGGCGTAGGCGGCGCAGAAGCAGCTATCGCCGTAGACGTAGGAGGTATCGCCGACGTCGTTATTACTAGTCGCTCAAGTTGACCATGTAGCAAGCAGTTTCAAAAAGCACAAAAAAAAAATAGAAAGAAAAGGAAAAAATGATGATTAAAGACTCCTGTCCATCCTGCACACATCAGTAAGACTCCAACTATTAACGTGGCTAAGACCAAAGAGCTGCCAACGACACCACTGACTGAATTTCCACAAGGCTGGGAAGGGCTTCGGGGAAATTGCAAAGCAGCTTAGTGAAGCTAAACATGTTAATCTCACTCAGACTTTGGGCTCCATGCGAGATCTCACCTGGTGGAGTATTGAAGAGAAGGAGGCTGTTCCCCCAAATCTGGCAACATGACCCCAATCAGGTCATGTTGCCAGAGGAAACACATGACCTCTAAACACAGGAAGTGGAATTAAGACCAGAAAGTCATGTTTTGGTTTCCTCTGACCACATCACTTTCTCCCATGACTCCTCTGGGTCATCCAAATGGTCATGGAGATGAAGACGGGCCTGGCCGTGTGCTGATTTAAGAACGGGAACCTTCTGTGCCATGCATGATTTCACACCGTTTGTGTTCACACTGCAGCCTGAAGTCACACAGTTACTTCAGGCTGATGTCAGGCTTTACTTCTGCTACTTTGTTTGCGGAAGTAAACATGGATGCTAACAGTGGAGTGCTAACGTATATCTGATACGTATCGGATATGCAGGTGTCCTGGGTCCAACCTGTGTTGTTCAGACTGTCATGAAAAGATCGGATACAGGTCAAAAAATTGTATTTGGGTCTCTTCAGGCTGCAGTATGAACTGCAGCCTGAAGTTCACACTTCAGCCGGCAGTGGTGCCGACTCTCTTCGGGTCATCGACCAGCTCCTCCTGTGTGGTTCTGGGTTGATTTCTCACCTCATGATGCGTCGTGAGGTGAGAGTCTTCCAACATGACAATGACCCAAAGCACACAGCCTGCGTAAGGTGAGGTGCCGACCAGTCTCCAGACCTAAACCCAATAGAGGGACTCAGACTCCATGTTTCTCAGCGGCAGCCCAGAAACCTGGCTGATCTGGAGAACATCTGGCCAGAATCCCTGCTGCAGTGCAAACATGGTGAAAAACTACAGGAAACGATCGACTGATCGCTGACAGCAGTAACACACAATTATTTAAAAATCAGACATTGTGATTTCCGGATTGTTTTT